AGCCTTCCCTGGGGTTCCAGTGATCAAAATTCACCCCGCGCCGACTCATATTTATGACGGTTGCGGCGTCCCGGGGGGGGGGGGGGGGGGGGCCGCGCGATCCCCCTTTTGCAACTTACTTCACTTCACAACTGCGTGATTCACTTAAGGGCGATTCACTTAACAACGGGGGCAAGAAATGTCGTAAAACAGGAGCGAACCTCCCCTTAATCCATGTCTCAATTAAGCCACAGGAATTTTGGCTTCTGTGGTGCTTTTAAATTAAGTATTATTATTTTTTGTTTATTTTTATTCCCCCCCCCCACCTCTGATGTGTTCTGCTTGGGAAAAATCCCTTCTGAGCCAAAGTTTTTTTCTTTTTTTAAAAAAAAAATCCTCAGGCATTTTCACAAACACGTGATTCTTTCCCGCCCCTCCCCCACCCTTCTTCTCTCCCACGCTCTGCCACACCTTGTTACTCGGGCTGGCAAGGTGGAGGCTTGATCCTGGGTGGAGCTGAGCTTTCAGCATTCCTCGCCCGGCCACCCGCTCAATCCAGAAAAGTTTGCAAATCCTTTTCTGAACTCTTCTGGAACCTTGGCGAGATAAAAGCCACAGAAAGGGCACTTACAGGTGGGCCTCGACTTCTCGGCAGCTCAGAATTAAGGTTGCCAAGTGGGAAAACTTGTTGAGTGAGCTTTGTCCCGTTTTACGACTTGCCACATTTCTTCAGCGAACCGGTGCAGCAGTTCCATTAGGAACACAGTCGTTAAGGGGGAAATCTGGCTTCCCCATTGACTTTGCTTGTCGCAAAAGGGGAAGGGAAGGAAGGAGACTAATAGAAGGAAGGTGATAAAGAGAAGGAAGGAAAGAGGCAGAGAAGGAAGGAAGGTGATTCAGGGAAGGAAGGAGACTCAGAGAAGGAAGGAAACTAAGGGAGGGAAGGAAGGAAGGAGAAGGAAGGAAGGAAAAAGGGGCAAGAGGCTGACTCTGTAAACCGCTTAGAGATGGCTATAAAAGCACTGTGAAGTGATATATGTCTAAGAGCTAAGTGAGAAGGAAGGAAGGAAGGAAGGAAGGAAGGAAGGAAGGAAGGAAGGAAGGAAGGAAGGTTGGGTTGAGCCTGGTCAGGATCGAACGCCAGCACCTGAATTTTGATCGTAAGCGTAAAAAAACAGTCATGTCATTTTTTCCAGTGCTGTTGTAACTTTGAACAGTCACTAAATGAACCCCCAACAATCCCAAGTCCTCATTTTACTGACCAAGAAAGTCAGTCCATCAATCAATCAATCAGTCAATCAACCTTGAGCCACTCAGGATCAAACTCCAGCCTCCGAATTCTGATCATGTGACCTGCACCGGCCGTAAGTGCGAAAAACGGTCAAACAAGTCAGTTTCTCCCCCCCCCCCCTTCAGTGCTGTTGTAACTCTGAACAATCACTAAACCAATGGGTTGTAGGTAAGGACTACCGGTAGATCACGGTGGGATGTAACGTTTTTGGGTGAACTCCGCCTGTTTCGACACAAGCTGATTTGGCACCACCGCCAAACCGGGAGTGATTTTTATCCAGCTATGCCGAGCTGGGTGTTTCCCTCCCTTAATCCGGCCTGCTGGCAAAAAAAACCCCCTCTGATCCTTCTGTTCTCTGGCTTTTGGGGATGGGGTGGGGTCTTTGAGAAGGGTGGGGTCCCCTCCTACCAGACGGGAGTTTTGGCTTCGGCACAATGGTGGGGTTTGCACTGATTGTACCCTGGGGAGAGAAATGGAAGTGGAAGGCCGGGCTGATTGCTCCTGTCAAATTACTGACTTGATCCCAGTGAGGCCGAAGGGCCAAAGAAGGCCTTGATTGTCAGAAATGCTACGTCTGTATCTTTTCAGGGGAGGTCTCTCTCTCTCCCCCTCCCCACGCTGCCCTCTTCCCTGATGACCAGTAAGCGGTCTGCCCCCAGGGGCCGTTTCTCTGCCTTGCTTCTGTTAAGCCCCACTTCCTTTCTCTCTCTTTTCATTCCGCGCTTAACGTGGGGAAAGGGTCCGTGGGCAATGCGGAACTCAAACTGCCACCAGGAAGACCACCCAGAAAGATTGCTGGAGCCCCCTTCTGGAGGGCAAGCCATTTCACTGGTGTGTTCTCACTGGTGTCAGGAAGTTTTTAGCCCTGCTCAGAAGCATCGAGGTTTCCCGCCCCTTGCCAGACGTCTCCCCTGCCAAAGTTGGCTGAATGTTGCAACGGAAGGTTTACGAGGATGACTCAAGCGGTGGAAGAAATGAGTCGCTGGCTTAGTGGGAAAAGATTGGTCATTCAAGAATCTCCTAGTGTTTGTCTGACTCATTCTGTGCAAGAGGGCATTCTCTCTCCCCCCCCCTCCCCACATGGGACACATCTGCAAATTTTAATCCCATCTTTATTCCGTCGTCATTCCATCGATCACTGCGTGGGGGCGCAGTGGTTAGAATGGAGTATTGCAGGCTCGCTCTTGCCGACTGCCAGCAGTTCGATTTTCGCCGGCTCAAGGTTGACTCAGCCTTCCGTCCTTCCGAGGTCGGTAAAATAAATATCCAGATGGTTGGCAGGAGGGGGAAATATGCTGACATTGTAAACCGCTTAGAGAGGGCTGGAAAGCACTATAAAGCGGTATATAAATCTAAGGGCTATTGCTGTGGCTGTAGATATTTGGATGCTGCATTAGGAGCCGTGGCACTGCTGTGGTTAGAATGCAGTATTGCAGGCTAATTTCTGATGACTGTCAGCCGTTCGATCCTGACTGGCTCAAAGTTGACTCAGACTAAACTGCTTAGAAAGGGCTGTAAAACACTGTGAAAAGGTATATGTCTTGATATTTCTTCCTTCCTTCCCTCCTTCCTTCTTTCCCTCCTTCTTTCCTTCCTTCATTCCTTGCTATGGTGGCGCAGTGGCTAGAATGCAGTATGGCAGGCTTAATTTGTAATGACTGTCAGCAGTTTGAATCTCACCAGACTCAGCCTTCCAGTCTTCCGAAGTGGATGAAAGGAGGACCCAGATTGTTAGGGGCAGCATGCTGACCAGAGGTGGGTTGCTCCCGGTTCGATCTGGATGGGGCGAACCGTTTGTAGCAGTGGCGGGAGGCTCTGCCCACCTGCCCGGATACTTCTGTGCATGCGGAACCATGCCCGAACTGGTAGGAAAAAATTGGCAACCCAACTCTGATGCTGACTCTGTAAATCGCTTAGAGGGGGCTGTAAAAACACTAGGAAATGGTAAAGGTAAAGGTTCACCTCACACATATGTGCCCGTCGTTCCCAACTCCAGGGGGCAGCGCTCATCTCCATTTCAAAGCCGGAGAGCCAGCACTGTCCGAAGACGTCTCCGTGGTCATGTGACCAGCATGACTCAACGCCAAAGGCGCACGGAACGCTGTTATCCTCCCACCAAAGTTGGTTCCTATTTTTCTACTTGCATTTTTGACGTGCTTTCGAACTGCTCGGTTGGCAGAAGCTGGGACAAGTCACGGGAGCTCACTCCATTATGCGGCGCTAGGGGCTCAAACTGCCAAACTGCCGGCTTTTCTGACCGACAAGCTCAGCATCTTAGCCACTGAGCCACTGCATCTGGTATATAAGTGCTATTGCTATCGTAGATAAGGAGATTTGCAAATGGCTTGTGAGTCCTTCCCTGTCCAGCAGTGTGGCTGGTGGCCCCCAGTGAGGCCACGCCAATAAATGGTTGCCAAGCTGAAGATTCCCAGACCGTATGGTTCCCAGATAGGGTTGCCAGCTCCTGCTTGCTACTTTTTCCCACCCCCTCCTCTCCTCCCATGTTCAAACAAGCCCCGTCCTCAAGGGAGGGAGGCCTCTCATTAAGAGAGCCTGCTTTATCTGCCACTCTTCTTTGCACATGATGTTCCAGGGCGCACCTCGAAACGATGGGCGGTGAACAGGAAGAGTGCAGCCTGGCAGTGCAGGCAAGCAGAGAGCAGGTGGGTGATACGGCTGCCAATTTCAGGTGTTGCAACCTCAACATGCAATTTGGAATTTACCTGTCCTGCTTCAAAGAGAATTGTTTATGAAATGCCTCCATAAACCTGACTCCCGTACGTGCCAGAAAGCACAAAAGCACCCTTCCTAGGTGATCTGGTCTAAATGGTACTTTACATTAAGAAAATGGCTTACAAGCATTTTACTTATAAAATGTCTTTTTCTGGCTTAGAATATGGAATGATATAGAATGGTAAAAGACTCCTTGAGCCAGGGGTTGGGCTAGAAGAACTCCAAAGTCTCTTTCCACCCCAGGATTCTATGTTCTAATGAAAGAAGGCAATGTAGAATGGAATGGAATAGAATAGAATAGAGTAGAATATAGGATAGAAAGAATAGAATAAATATTGGAATGGAATAGAATAGAATAAAATAGGAATAGCAAAAGAATAGAACATAAGATAAAAAGATAGAATAAATATTGGAATGGAATAGAATAGAATAGCAAAAGAATAGAATAGAATATAGGATAGAAAGAATAGAATAAATATTAGAATGGAATAGAATAGAATACGATAGGAATAGNTCCCTCCCCACTCTGGGGGAAGGATACTGCAAAATCTCCATTCCCTCCCCACTCCAGGGGAAGGATACTGCAAAATCCCCATTCCCTCCCCACTCTGGGGGAAGGATACTGCAAAATCCCCATTCCCTCCCCACTCTGGGGGAAGGATACTGCAAAATCTCCATTCCCTCCCCACTCCAGGGGAAGGATACTTTGCGAGGAACCTTTCCGAGGAACATCCATTTCTTTCCCCAGGAACTATCGGATGAGATCGAAGATTACACCCACCGTTTCAACACTGAAGATCAGGTCGAGTGGAACCTTGTCCTACAAGAAGTGGCCGCGTTCATTGAGGTAAGATCTACAGAGATCCCAACCACTGTCGTCGTTGGGTTTTGGTTTTTTTGAACAAAAATTCTGCTCATCCAGACCCCAAATCAGCTGGCGTTTCCCCCCCCCCCCTTTCCGATCATTCTGATCTGTTGGGTAAAGAAAAGAAACGGAAGGTTCTTTTTTTTTTTGGATGTGCTTTGTCAAGAATTTCTTTTTCTCGGCGGGCGAAATGAAAAACCATGTTTAGTTGGTTGGATCTTAAAAAGAAGCCCACTGCCAGAACTAGAGTGGGGCTTCACTAGGAGCAGTGGATCTTCCATCCCAAGGACCGGCCCATAGATTTCCACTGCTCTCCTCTCCTCTGCCACATCTATTCTTCTCCGACCCCTGCCTTTTATCTCCAGAATTAGGGTGGGGCTTTGCTAGCAGCAGTGGCTCTTCCGTCCCAAGGACCGGCCCATAGATTTCCACTGCTCTCCTCTCCTCTGCCTTCCTTTGCATCTGAGCGTCAGGCACTGGGCCCAGCTGTTCCTCCTCTTCCTCATCAGCCACTTCCAGACCTGGGGGCGGTTGACTCTCCATCTGAGGGCTGACGGACGTCCCAGGCTCTGCCTCTCCCCCTCCCCCTCCCCTCTCTCATATCTTATCTCTTAAAATTAATCTGTTGGGATTGGTCCTTCAGGCTTTTCACCATCTCGGTCTTCTTTCTAGGCAGACCCAGTCATGGTCTTGAACGATGACAACACCCTGGTCATCCTGTCCAACCGCCTGTCTGAAACTGGAGCCCCCCTGCTGGAACAAGGCATGATTGTGGGGCAGTTAATGCTGGCCGACGCCCTCATTATTGGCAATTGCAACAATCAGGTGGGTTCCCCCCCCTCCCTGCGTATGTCGCTGCATGTCACCGTGACGGAGTGGATGTTGGCTGGTCTATACCCAGTCCTCGACTTACAACCGTTCAATTTAGTGACCGTTTGAAGTTGGAAAAAAAAGGGGGCAGGACCATTTTCCACACTGAACGACCGTTGCAGCGTCCCATCCCCCCCCCCGGCAGTTTATTTGATCCAAATTCGGGGTCTTGGCGACCGGCTCGTATTTCTGATGGGGTCACGTGATTCCCCACTTGTGGCCTTCTGACCTAGCCTTCTGACCGAATCACGTGACTGTGGGGAGGAAGTTGCAGCGGTGCGAAAAAACACTCACCCTCCGTCAGTCATTTTTCCTCGGTGCCGTTCAATGGTGGGTTGCAGGCGGTACGCCCCGATACGGGTGTACTTGAGCCTGCCTGGAGCACTGGGTACCGTTCTGGTACAGTTCTCCGGAGGGCCCGCCTGAGCTCCTTACCTGTCCTTTAAGCCTTTGGCGCTTACGTGCATGGTGCGTACGATGCCTGCGGAAGCGTCGCAGGCAAGTATAACGCATGCACGTACTGGTTGGAACAGAATCCGGAACCCACCACTGGTGCCGTTGTAACTTCGGTCACTACATAAATGGTCGTAAATCAAGGGCTCTCTGTCTTTCTGTCCCGCCAACCTTTTGGCTTTTTAGACGTTTCCTCAGCTGTGGCGATTCTCAGCCGTCTGGGAGGTCACAGTTGCCCCAAAGGTGCGTTTTCAAAAGGCAACTGGACTTTCCTCCTTTTTTTCTTTGAAGAGGTTTCGCTTCTCATCCAAGGAGGCTTCTTCAGTTCTGGGGAAGCAAAACGTCTTCCAGAGAAAAACGAAGTCCGGTTGCCTTTTTTGTGAAGAAACAGCTTTGGGACACGGCGCTCAGATGCTCTTCTCCTGTTTTCTGCCGGTCGACCTGAACTGTCCCACATTTTGTGGGGAGGGCAACGTCTCAAGCTCAAGGGAACGCGGTGGCTCAGTGGCGAAGACGCTGAGCTTGTCAATCAGGAAGGTTGGCAGTTCGGCGGTCCGAATCCCTAGTGCCGCGTAACGGAGGGAGCTCCCGTGACTTGTCCCAGCTTCTGCCAACCTAGCAGTTCGAAAGCACGTAAAAAAATGCAAGTAGAAAAATAGGAACCACCTTTGGTGGGAAGGGAACAGCGTTCCGTGCGCCTTCGGGCGTTGAATCATGCCGGCCACATGACTATGGAGATGTCTTGACAGCGCTGGCTCTTCGGCTTTGAAACGGAGATGAGCACCACCCCTTAGAGTCAGGAACAACTAGCACAGATGTGTGAGGGGAATCTTTTACCCTTAACGTCTCAAGCAGCGTAGCTGATTTTCAGGGCGCAAAGCGTTAACCGCCTGGTGTAAAGTGCCCGCTGGTTCTTTGGTAGGTGAAGTTTAGTGAACTGACAATCGACATGTTCCGGATGCTGCAGGCGTTGGAGAGGGAGCCCATGAACCTGGCTACGCAGATGAACAAGCCGGGGCTGCAGGCAAGTCCTCCGTGGAATATTGTCACGCTTTTTGGCTTTCCGTTGGAATTGGGGGGATCGACGGTGCGGCAGAGGGCTTTAGAGCTCTCATCCGGAGGCTGGCAGGTATTCCTCTCCCAAGCATCCTGTCTTGGGCCGATTGATGCCTCCAGAGATGCTCAGGGCTGGGGGCGAAAGAGAGCGAGGCCAGCCCAGAATTACCCAGAGAGCTTCAGTAACTTGTGTGGGGGAGGGAGACCTTGAGTTTAGGTCTTCTGGATGCTAAATGGAGCCATTGGATTTTGCTCTTTGAAGGTGAACACAATAAAAGTGACAGCAGGATCCGCAAATGTTTTTTCCCTCCCACCCTCCCTCCTTCCACTTACTTCTTCTTTCCTCTCCCTCCCTCCCTCTCTTCCTCGCTCTCCTCCCTCCCTCTTATTTCCTTCCTTCCTTTCCTTTCTCCTTCCTTCCTCTCTCTCCTCCCTCCCTTCCTCTCCCTCCTTCCTCTTACTTCTTCCTTCCTCTCCCTCCCTCCCTTCCTCTCTTTCCTTCCTCCCTCCCTCCCTCCCTCCCTCTTTTATTTCCTTCCTTCCTCCCTTCCTTTCCTTTCTCCTTCCTCTCACTCTCCTCCCTCCCTTCTTCTCCTTCCCCTTACTTCTTCCTTCCTCTCCCTCCCTCCCTTCCTCTCTTTCCTTCCTCCCTCCCTCCCTCTTTTATTTCCTTCCTTCCTCCTTTCTCCTTCCTTCCTCTCTCTCCTCCCTCCCTTCCTCTCCCTCCCTTCCTCTCCCTCCTTCTCCTTACTTCTTCCTGTCTCCCAACTTTCTCACTGCCTCCCTCTTTTCTTCCCTCCCTTCTTCCTCCTTCCTTTCCTCTCTCTCTCTCTTTCCTCCCTCCCTTCTTCTCCCTCCTTCCACTTACTTCTTCCTCTTTCCCTCCCTCCCTTCCTCTATTCCTCCCTCCTTCCCCTTCCTTCTTCCTCCATTCTTCCTTCCTTTCTCCTCCCTCCTTTCTCTCTCTCTTTCTCTTTCCCCCAAGTCCCCAAATATGTGATTTTTCTGAGTGCTGTTTTGGTCCCTGCTGGAGATGATCAAGGGGTTGATTTGAGGGTTTTGCTGTTGCCGTGTGGGGTGGGGGTTTTATCTCTCTCTCTCTCTTTTTTTAATGTTGTGGGTCGTATCCTATATGTGAGTTGGGCATTTGTTTAACCCAAGAAACCACGAAGAAGAAACCACGATTTCTGTAGGCAACGCCAAGCCGGATCAAAGAAACCCGGGTCTCTTCTGTCTTTGGGGAGAGTGGGGGGAGAAACCAACAACGTGGAACTTCTTTAAGGAGGGTCCTTTCTGTCTTCCGCAGGAGACCACCGAAAAGCCAGCCAGGAGAGAAAACCCTCACAAATACCTGTTGTACAAGCCAACTTTCAGCCAGCTGTACACCTTCCTTGCGGCATCATTCAAGGTTGGTGAAGCAGAGGCGAGGCCGGTCCCAGCTTCCGGCGGGAGGTTAAACCTCACCTCTTCCCCCTACTGGAGGCAGCAATCAGGGAGGTCAGTAAGTGGGGTTCAGAGAAGGCGATGGCGACCCTGGATAGGAAACAGCCAGGATGAAGACGTTGCCTAGTTGGGTCATGAAACGTCTGCTAGAAAACCACCAAGCTCAGGGAGGACCAAGGAACTCTCCCACCCCACAGTTCAACACTGAGCTTCAAATATTTCCCTCTGTGGGTACAAATAGACCCCAGCAGGGTTTTACAGCAAGGATTCTTTTGACTTGAGGGAATTTGCTTGGAGGGGGGGGGGATTGAGGTCATTTGTTCTCCCCTAGATTTATCCGTTTGGGTTTGGGTTAACCTGTGACAAGAGATCTTCAAACATGTCTCTCTTCCCAAATACATCTTCCTGACTTCCTTCCCCTCCCTCCCTCCCTATTCTCTTTCTCATCTTGGTATGGCAATCAACCTTCCTTCCTTCCCTCCTCCCTTCCTTCCTTCCTTCCTTCCTTCCTTCCTTCCTTCCTTCCNCCATCAGTCAAATGCAAAAAGCCGCACTGCTTGGATCTGCACGCATATTACGAAAATACGTTACGACGTCCTAGGCCCCTGGGTGGTGGGGCCCGACTAGTAACCAATGCCAAATCCGGCGAAACAACTGGCCGCTGTGATACAATTGTATAATAATAATAAAGTTTAGACTGTGCAGAGATGAACAGGTTAACTTTAAGGATAAAGAGGAATCGGTGTAACTTCAAGACATGGAGATTTTATGATTGGTTAGAGAAAGGAACGAGTACAAATGGGTCTGCAAATGTTGTTTTTGCTCCCCTTCTGAATCACAGAACAGTGGCCCTCGACTTACGACTTACCTAACATTTCTGTTGTTATGTCAGACATGGATTACGGGAGTTTTGCCCCAGTTTACGACCATCCTTGTCACGGTTGCAAAGGGGATCACCGCAGTGGTTAAGTTAATAATACGGTTGTTAAGTGAGTCTGTGGCAATCTTTGCTTGTCAGAAGGACGCAAAAGGGGATTATCTTGACCTTGGGAACACTGCCATGGTCATAAGTACGGAGTCTTTGCCAATGAATTTTGATCACGGGGAGGCTCCAAAGGGTCCTAAGGGTGGGAAACGGGCATAAGTCTCTCTCTTTCAGGCCCGTTGTAACATTGAACGGTTGCTAAATGAAGCGTGGGGTGCTGTGCAGTCTATGCAAATTGTACATCCTCGTCGGGTAGCTATGAAAAAGACTTTAGCGGATCGAAAACTGGATGGACCAGACTGGCGGGTTATTAGTCACGCGGGATGAGTAAAAGGGTACTCACTGTCTGCGGCAAAGCCAAATCCACTCTGCCAGGCCCTCCTTTTCCCTAAATCCCGGTTCAAATCCAGCCGTGAACTCTCTCTCTCTCTCTCTCTTTGTCGCTTGCTAATTTTGGGGAGGGAAGCAACGGAGTTATTATGTAAGCAACACGGCCTCTCTCTTGATTTTTCCTTTAAAAAAAAAAATGCCGTTTCCTAAAATCCAGCCGTTGCCTCAAAATTTAATAGTGTTGGGTTCGGATCAAGCCACAAGGCCCTGTTTTGTTTCCGGATGCCTACGATGAAAATGGACTTCAAGTTGCGTTTTGCAATGCTTTGCGCAGTGACAGTATCGTAGCCAATGAGGTTTATCCCAGGCGTGATTATTGCTAATTGATTGCAATGCTTCTCTCTCTCTCCCTCTCTCCCTCTCTCTCATTCTCTCTCTCTCTCTCTCTCTCTCTCTCTCTCTCTCTCATTCTCTCTCTCTCTCTCT